AGACAAGGAGTTTCGGGTCTGTGATGCTTAGAGCGTAGACCTTAAGGGTTCGGTTTATCATCTCTGGCTTGTGCTTTCTCGAGATTTTCCCTTGTATCTCTTATTCTTTCAGGTTGAGTGGAGTATTTCTCAGGTCTCTACAGGGCTCTCTCGGTGGTGGTGCTCTTTTTGGTTGTTAGGAGTTGTATCTCATCTCTTTAGTTCTTCAGCGGAGGTTCTTTAGTGTCTCGGATCTGTGTTAGACATTAGTCTAGGTTGAACTGGTGTTGTCTTTGCCTGTGTCGTTGATGCCGTGATCTTTTGGTCTTGGCCTTGGCGTGGTGGCTTTGTCCAATCCAGCCTGTTTTGTAGCTTTAACCGTTGGTTTTCGAGTTGCGGGTCAGACCCGTTTGGGTTCAATTGGTTCTGTTTTTTAGGCTCTTCGATTGGTTGAAGATCTGATGGGACCGTGACTGGTTTTGGGGCTGGTGAAGGCTGTCGTATCTATTTGCAGTGCTTTTTCCTTCGCATAGGTTGTTTGGGTTCTATCCGGATCCGTTTCTGTTGCTGGTTCATTTTCGTGCTCGATTTCAGATTTGTTCACTCCTTGTATCTATATTTCAGATGTGTTCGGGATCTGCTCATTTGAATTGGTTTCTATAGAGGTGGTATAATCAGTGGATTTTGTCCCCACCGTCTTTGGTAGTGTTTGGGGTTCTCGAGTGTTCTCCCTCCTTGCCAAAGTTTGAAGTTTGGTCAGTCTATTAAAGAGGTAGAATTGATTCACCATAGGAGGATTTGTGGTTTGGTTTCGGTCCTAGCCCCTTGCGAAGTTTGTTAGCTCTGTTTTATAGGGTTGTGTATCATTTCTGTTTCTTTATCATTTCTCGTAGGTTGTCGAGGTTTGTATTTCGATGTAATCTCTATCTATCTAATATACCTTTAGATGACAAAAAGAAGAAAAAAGATGGCTTTCTTCTCCGGTGATTGCTCGAGATTCTTTTAGCAGCATGTGTTCTTTTAGCTTAAGATTGCGGATGTCATGGGTTGTTGTCTCTCTCTGCTTCCTGGCTTTTTTTGGTTTGGGGTCTTCTACAACGGTATTTCGCTTTTCATCCTCCTCCCGGCTATGGTGAGTTCAGTAGTGTGGGATCTTCTTCATCCTTATTTCCTTCCGGCAGTTCTGTTATCTTGGTCATAGCATGGGTTGTATGGTTGCTTTGGACTGTGTTGTAGTTTCTTTGCTTTATCTTGTAGGTCTATTTTCTTCGTATTTGCCGCATTTCGCTTTCCGGTTCCGTTTATGTGCTCCTTCTTCGTGATTGTAGCTCTTCCGGATATGTGGTATTCGCTCCTTGTTTCTACATCTCAGACCAAATCGGAGTCTGCATTTTCATTGGATTTCTAGTGGCGTGGTTCTGGTTTAGATCATTTCCCGCCTTCTTGGGTTGTTTGCCAAAGTACAGTCCATAATTCTTGGTCTTATGAGGTAAATTTGATTCGCAATAGGAGGTCTCTTTGGTTCTTTGTGGTTGTGTTGATTTTAGACTTGTTACGGTTTAAAATTACTTCAGTTCTTTCTCTGATGTGGTAGATCATGAGATTTATAATCCTCTATCTTATCTCGCCTTTTGGCTTATATGTATATATAGTATATATTCTCATATGACAAAAAAGAAGAAGAAGATGGCACAGTAAAAAGTAGCGGTATAGAAATATGTGTTGGGTTCGATTAGTAATCCAAAACGGTATGAGTTTTTCATATATAAACTGTAAGTCACTACAATATAGTACAAAACTGTACAAACAAAGCTGAATATAACGTCTTTGGTAAAAAAAAAATTTAATATAGCTTTTGTTATTAGTAGATTTTAAAACGTTACAAACTGTAAAATGGTAATAAGTTTATTAAGTTTAGGGAAAATTATCAAATCTATCACAATCTCGAAACCTTTTTTTCCAATCTACCACAATTGCAAAAACCTTTCCACCAATACCACAACCTCAACATAAAATGACAA